GGGGTCGGCCCGGACCCCTGGCGGTCCGCAAAGGTAGTACTGGGGTCCGTGAGCTAAGTTCAACATTTCAAGAGGCTCCAGCGTAAAAATTATAATTACTCACGATAAAGGCTGCTAAAGATAAACTTTCAAAATTTCATGTTTCGTTGTTCTTGGCTGTAATATTATAAACTCAGAATGGCAACATATTGGTTGTGCGGGGTAGATGTTTCAAACGTTTTTCAGACCTTTCAAAAACCTGGGGACCGTGGGAAAATTAATTTAAATAAAGAGGGGTCCTTTTAATTGTAGTGAAAAGGTTGGGAACCACTGACCTAGACGACCTATAACGTCGTTGTACAACGATTGGTGTCACACAGTCTGGATGGAGATGGCTATATGGTTGCGGCTAATACGCATTACAAATGACATGATTTCGTATAAAACGCGAACATTGCCGTTTTTAGGTAGGATGCTTTGAAACTAAGAGAGTGCACTGGACTTTCGTTAACTCTAATTAGATAAATAAAACCACATCATCATCGTCAGATAATAGTTCATTCCATTCAAATGAAACACTTACGGTGGCGTAATCATTTAGAGTGACAATATCAAGAAATGTTTCTATTATATGGACTCTTGACAACATATTAGACGAGGTACTATTAGCTCTTGCTTACACTAGTATCGTCATAGCAGCAGCATGAGTCATCGTATGACATATAGTCATCATATGCACCAAGATAACAGCAGTGGCTACACGGTGAAATGTACTCTTATTATTTGTAAACATTTACAAATTGTGTGTAAATCTAGGATAGAGTAGAGTAGGATAACTCTTTGCTGCCTGACTTTAGAATGTATTGCACAATATTCTGATGATGTGCCACCAACGACACAATAATATTGCACAACCTTCAATAAATATCTACTGGGTTTTGATTCCGTCAGAATATTGCGCAAGTCAAAATTTTCCTTAAATATTGCACACTATACCGATCAATAATATTGTCAATATTCATTATTGACAATAATGCTATTGTGCGTGTATGGGCCGCTTAAGTTATAGAGCATCGTCATCAGAACGATCGAGATATAATGCACCCTCTCTATAGAGGGAAGGCGCCGGCATCAATCACTATATATATAACAAAAATTAATACAATGTAATAAATATTCTAACATTTACGCATAGTTTATCTACGCTGATTGCAATGGCAACGACCCATATTATCAGGACTGAATAATAATAGAGTCTATTATGTACACATATAGGTCGCAAACAACTCACGCTAGACAGGCCCAGAGTTATTCGATCCCTCTCTCGGAACCTAGATTCGCGTGTTAGCGTGCAGACAAACAGCACGAATAACGCGTAAATAGAAAATTATCGGCAAGGTTACCCTGACCATAGCCTTGGCCCCTTATACTCAGGCTCAGTATAGGGATACGTGGCTAAAAACGGATACATTTTCTCGCCTAACGCACGCGTGCATGTGTGCGTATATATATGTTTGTAACTATTTCTAAAAATATTGTACGTGCGTGCGTGCTTGTGTGCGTGCGTGTATGTTTGTATAAATACCGCTAAAAAATTTACTTGACATAACAAACTTGATTCTGTTGTTTACTATATGTTGCCCAACAACAACCAAACAGACTGCTACTAAGTATAACTGCGTTTATACGTAGGTTCGGCACGGGGGCTAACACTCTTCCTGAAATATTTGCTGGCAGTACGCCAGTAGTATACAAATGTTCTTTTGTACAATGATTTCATGAATGAATGATTGAAACCTTATACGCTACAAAGAATAACGCGAAAGTACACGTAACAAAGAATTACAGTCTGGAAGCTTCCATGCTCACATATGGGCCCTACTATAATATTTCGTGAAATTCAATCCAGTTTGGAAAATGCCATATTCCTCTTCCAGACTTATGTGAAGGAGGCACAGCACACAGGGAGGTACAAGAACGTGTTTCTCCAGTAAAATTGAGTTATCATCATTGAAATCAACAGTCGGAATCGAAGGTCAGTTCATGCAATTTCCTAAAAAGGGGTGGCAAAAATGTGTAGTTTTTGTTCAACGAGTGAATAAAACCAAATCACAATTGGTATGTCATCAGGAATGAATAACCAAATAGCGATATTGTAGATATTCTGCAATATACTAATACTATATACTTCTTCTTCCTTCGCATTATTAGTCCCACTCAAGTGGGATCGCTAAATGAGTCAGGCGCTGCCCCTGCGCGTCGCCTCTGAGGTACGCCCTATCTAGGTCTCCTGATCCACTTTGTGTCCACCTTATTTAGCGTTAATACGATTATTAGCTAAGCTTATTTTTTAATTTTGCTCTAAAATCTAGGGGGTAGCTGCCCCCTTGCCCCCCCCCACAGGCTACGGCCCTGAAATCGGTGTAAAGCTATCAATTTTGTTTCTATTGTTGTTGACAAACGACTTCAAAATATCCCGAAGATTTTAAAACTGGTTTTAATTTACCGCACCACAATCCACTCGCATACATAGAGGCCAAAGGGCGGGCAATATAAACTTAAAATGATCAAGAGTAGATAATAGAGATAATATCTCTATTATCTACTCTTGAAATGATATATCTAACGGTAACCTCGAGATTGGCAACTTGCAATAGACAATCAACGAACTGCTAGCGTTACGTGCGGTCTGCACTGCATTTGTTGTCACAAAAAAACTTGACTACATCGCACGCTCCACAGATCTAACCTTGGCCTGTTTGACTGGATCCTTATCACGATAGAGAGTTATCTATCCATTCATCCAAGAAAGCAAGCAAGCAAGTAATGGCGATCGCTCTAACATGTTTGTTCTTCTAACGCTCATAAGGTCTATGTGCTCCAGGGACCAGGGTACTGCCGGAACGTACCTAGGGTACGTTCCGGCAGTACCCCGGGGGACATAGACTCTCTCAGCTCTTCTAACATGTTTTAACATGTCTTCTAACATGTTTTCTTTGCCCTCGCCTGCGCCCGGTTTACAGTCCGATATAAAATCCAATCTACATTTTATTTTATTTTACTTTCTAGCTAGGCAACAATCTTTAAACTTTCATTGTTATACTCTGTAATCACCTTATTTGATCTCTTTAGGAATGTCGTATGAATAGGGTACTCTAGCTATATTGGTAGAACGCTTGACTGTGTCAGTATTACACCTGGGTTTACACTACCAACTTTGTGTTGGCGAATTGGCGAATTGGACCAACTTCCAAACTATACAACTGGCAATTGGCAGTGTAAACGCAAAAGTTGCGTGACCAACCGATCAGTAGCAACTAATATGGAGATTAGAACATGTTCTATTTTCGCCAACTCGGAGTTGGCGAATTGGAAAGTTGGTCCAACTTGCCAACATAAAGTCGGTAGTGTAAACCCAGCTTTACCTAGAACAGAAAAGTGATCAGCGAAGTACAACGTGGATGTGATTGTCACCGATCAATTTCACACAATCTGCTTGGCAATTTGTAACCGAAAAAAGAATATCCGTGTCGACATACTAGGAATAAATACAGTACCAAAAGAAAATATGCCTAAACCCGGATGGAGAATGAGGTTCCAGGAAGATGTTGAAACATTAACCGGTCAACGGGAAACAAAACTAACCACGTACTTGATATATCTCACTTCTGCAGATTACCCAACGCAGATTCACTGAACATGTCAGTGTATTGACAGCTACTGTATGGCATTAGCCCCTTGAATATACAAAGTAACAAACGGTGTATACAATACAAACATATACTGTTGATTTCAAACTTAACATGACCATTGTCCATTTATTAACGTATGTACATGGAACTCTATGTGTAAACAATGACACCGGGTGGTTAGTCGTAAAGATAAGCCATCATAACAAGTACGCGTGAGTGAAGTAATTGAGTACGGCTTTTGGCAATGACTATCATACACAGAATACTCAAGTATGCTGTAAACAATTTCATGCCGCATACGCTTGAGGTTTTAGTAACACACAATACCCAAGGCCCGTGAAGCCTGGGACATAATTAGGCAAACGCGAAGTGTAATGTTTTAGACACAGAAAAAATAAGTTATGCACGAAAAATGTATCACAAGAATTTAAGAAAGGCTTCAGTACTCACTAATATTGCTTCATCTTTTTATAGCATTCGAATTTCATAATTACCAAATACAGTTAAAGCAAAATAGTTCACCACTAGCTTTTAAAATAATAATCTATCGCTGCACATTTTTTTTATCTATAAATAAGCTGGAAATAGGTTGATTTGAACATTGTACACAGATATCAGCTCTGGAATTGCATAACATCAAGAGCTAATAATACCTAGAGTGTACAACGGCAAAACTGGAAAATAGTGCTATTTCACGACATGATTATTCTACTTTGCCTACGAGTCTAGGATAATTTTATGGTATTCTTTGCTCTCTAAAACAAGACCAACCGCTTGTCAATACGATACTCCTAGGCTGAGATATTGGCTCGTAAACATCCCCTCCCACAGGCCTCACGGCGCCTCGAATCCACATCAGTCAGCAACCTACTCGCCGCTAAGGTGGCTTCGTGAGTTCGGTTTTTCCGCGATAACTTTATGAATGAACGGCGTTTCGGTTATCATAGGTGACTTTCGGGGGCCCGCCTATGCCCTTATCTCCCATTATCTTTCCTAGCACAACTAATGCCCGGAGTCGGCAATGTTTTCTAAATTAAGTCTCTACAACGCAGCTCAGTTACTATATGGTGTAGTAAGAGTACCAAATTTGGGCATGTGACATCAATTATCAGCGCTCCAAGCGGTGACGGAAACGATAGCCAAAATGCTTAGGGGCGAGTAGGTTGCTGACTGATGTGGATTCGAGGCACCGTGAGGCCTGTGGGAGGGGAAGTTTACGAGCCAATATCTTCTTATTAACAAGCGGTTGGTCTTGTTTTAGAGAGCAAAGAATTCTGCTTAATGCAATACCATAAAATTATTCTAGACTCGCAGGCAAAGTAGAATAAACATGTCGTGAAATAGCACTATTTTCCCGTTTTTCCTTTGTACACTCTTAGGTATTATTAGCTCTTGATGACATCAATAACATTCTACAGAATCTGGGTCAAGCTACTCTGTACAACAATGCATTGATACATATGCAGAAATAGCATATCAAGAGCTATAATACATGTATTATTGTTATTATATTAACATTACATGTATTATTACGCTTGAGCATATGTATATTCTTTCTATGTGTTTATGATCCATGATCCCAATTTCCTTGCATTGTCTTCCTCTCTTTCTTTCTCGGTTCCCTGCCGCCGGTTGCTGCCTTTTTGTCCATGCTTGCCAACACCTCTCCTCATCTCTCCGCGTCAGCTCTCTCCTCATTCGGTGCACGTTTTGCTAGTGCAGTATGCGCAAGTACTACTGTAGCAGAAGCTGTAGCTGATATGTAGCGTATACATCGTCTATGCAATACCGCTTCATATCCAACTGCTCGCGTACGTCGGTAAAACTCCCTGCGCACCTACTTGCAGGTACACTCAGAGAAGATACGGGGCGGTTCACAGTCGAAATGCATTGATGCTGTTAAACCTAAACGTCACTCTATAACGAATAAATTGTTCCTAGATTACGTCTACAAAATGCCATGGTAGTAAGGAAAAAACTCACTACTGGCAATGGCACAGCCACCTTGCAGTAATAGGCATAATAGAATAATGTTCCAATGGGAACATAAGATTTATGAATAGCTACCCTATTTATACCTTCACGGTCTGATCATAGGTATCGCTATATACCTGACTGTATGATCAAACCAGACAAGGTACAGCACAATGCATTGGCAGTTAGTTACATGCTGGTGACCCTGCAGCTGACTTGGCGCACACATTGCATGTAAAGCAGGGTACGCGAATGAACACCTATACACACCTAGCGGCGACAAACAGCTGTCTATGCGCACACCTTGAAGCACCTTGTCGCTCACAGGAAGCTCATTAAGTCGTCGTTATGCAACGATGCCGTCATGTACATCTCCACCCGATAGTTGACACCGTAGTTATTGTCCCAGTAGGACTCCCCGTTGACTATGTATAAGATCGCGACCTCGACCCGGGCTCCAATTTCCATGTCGGCCGGCACAACGAGACTGAAGATGTACCTGTCGGTAGGTCCGTCGCACGAGCCGCGGATGTACATCGCGTTGATATCCTGCCGCGTCTTCCAGCCATCCAGCGTGTAGCGCACGAGCACCGTCTTGTGAAAGCCGATGTTGGCGACGCGCACCGTACAGGATAGTGTTCGATCGGTGATGATGCAGTTCTCGAGGCATACCTTCTTCTCGTGCACGCGGTCGAGAAATCCAAACGATGCGCCGGGCTGCGAGAAGTTGGCCGTGAGGTACTTGCTGGCGGGATCGACGTTCCGATGCGGGTCGAACAGGGCCGCCGACTGCCGGAGCGGCACCATGATGCGCGCGGGAATGTGCGGCGGCATTTCGGCACGCACGATGTGCCGGATGGACGCGAGGTCGAGGCCGAGAGCGTCGGCGAAGCGGACCACCTTCTTCCTGCTCGGCGTGATGTCCTTCTTCGTTGCGCATTTCAGCGACGAGCTGCGGATCTTCTGAAAGTTTGCGACGCGGAACTCGTGGTCATCGGTGGGGCTGGTCGGGCTCAGCGGGCTGTCAGTCAGCTGCGCGCCAAACGGGGAGTCCTCCGTGGATAAAGATATTAGCAGCTTATTGATTCGCCTGTCCAGATCGTCGCTAACCACGCGCTTACCGCTATCACTATCAGTATCACATTTCTTGCAGTCGACTTCTTCACCATTGGCTTTCGTCTCTGATACCTCGCTCTCGTCGTCCGTCGTCTGAAGTCCGACACCGCCGTCGTACGGATTGCAGTCGGTGTCCACACCGTCGCTACCACTGCGTGGGCTACATGTAGCTACTGGACTACCGGCGCAATCAACATGGCTAGCTGGATCATCTTCTTCCATTTCTCGATAGCACCCTCTAAATAGTAGCGGCGGTTTCACAGACCTGCGAACAGTCGGAACACAACACGAGCAATACGAAAGGTTCCTGGGTATGCAGAGGCGCGTTGCATCGCGGTCGTTCGAGAACATGGCATGGCAGTATATACGTTGACGTTATTTATATTAAATCTATATACTCAATGACGTTTCAAGATTGTATATATAGCCTAATTATAGGTACAAATTGAACTGCAGGGCGAAGTCAAGAACCATATGAGCTATGACGTCAGTTTCTCGCGGAATCTCGTGACCGTAAATAGATGGGTTCGAGCGTCGCCGGCTACTACTTACTCTGTGAATAGTGACAGCGTCACGTTGACCTCTAGGTGTCATCATGCTTACCGGCACGTAATTGTAAACAATAAATGTTCGTATTCTCCGTTTCAATTTTATATTGCACCTTTCGACTTTTTTTTAACGCCGGTGGAACAATGCATAGTACACGAATATTCGGTGACTCATTGTGGTCGATTTGGTTCATAGCCTAGGTGCTTGTGGGCTCCGAGTTAATATATTACTCGCTCAGGTACTACTAGTACTACTACTACTAGTAAACTAGTAGTACTAGTAGTACTACTACTAGTACTATAGCCCGACCAGGCTGTGCGACGGATTGTCTATACACCTACCTAGGGTATCCTAACCCTAGCGATACCGTTTCTTGGAGCTAACTACTACTACTACTTACTAGTACTAGTAGTAGTAGTACTACTAGTACTAGTACTACTAGGTTAGCTAGGTTGCTTTGCAAGTGAAGTGTACTTGTCAATTTGTAGTCATATATTATTACTACTAGTACTACTACTAGTAATATTATTAATATTATATAATATAATAATATTATAATATAGTAATATTATATTAATACAGACTACATGGTTCTCCACAGGAACTTCTCGAAAAAACTTCAGCATTTCGTTTATGTATGGATAGGGAAGGGGCCTGGACCAATTGGAGTCAACTAGTCCATGCCCGTTAGGTGGTCAGAACTTCTGTTAGACATACACAGACACACACACGCACACACACACACACACACACACACACCCACACACACATACACACACAACACACACACACACACAAATTCGCGCACACACACACACACACGCACACACGCATAAACACACACACACATACACAAACACATACACATATATGCGCGCGCGCATAAACACACAGACACTACACGCACGCACACACACACCACACACAAACGCGCACACACACACA